AACCAACAGACGAGTGATGGCGAGACGGAAAGGGTTTGGGAAGACTCTCCAACCCAAGCACCGCCCAGAAGCCAAAGAGAGAAGGGAAAGGGTTGGAAGGAGTGAACCCTGATTAAGAGACACATAAGGCTTGTCCAACAATGAGTAAATTTTGAAAGCAACTACTACGCGGCATCTCTTTCTTCACAATACTTCACTGGAACTTAACATGATGGCGAACCAGTTCTGGTTAATTATCCATTCCTATCTTATCCTCTCCTTTCTCTGTCTCTAGGAATTAATCTGTTGGGTCACAATGGGATAATGAAAGCTTAAAATGGTTCCATTCATCATGCCACTTCTGCATGCTATCCATTCCTCAAGGTAATTCCTGCTAAAGGAAAGCTTCCAAGATGAGGATAGTCTAAACGTATAGATTTCACGTAGTTGGTCTACTATATGATTTCATTCACCAGTTAACAGTTAGAGCATGTTATTTCTCCGTTTTGAGCTCCTGCTCGTAATCGTATAGCATGGCTTTCTTATTGTTTTTAGAAGTGCCTGGCGGGTTGAAAGGATTTGGAAGTAGTCTTGTACCTATTGTTCAATTTCCTCCAGAAGTGGTATATCCTAGGGTCAACAAGTGTTCTATCATATGTTTCTACTTTCATGTATGTTTTTCGTACTTTCTTCGCTCTCAGAACTTGGCGGGTACATGGTGGACATTGTTTTCGCTTCCCACTTATGTTTTGACCTTATCATCTTCAAGTAACGGAAATCGCATAGGAGTTTCAATCTCTGGTATATCTTCATATCTTGCATCTCTTACCTTTGGCACAACCGTTCTAAATTATTCTTTTTATGACTATCCCATTAACATGTATCTTTCTTGATTGCAGCGTTCATGCATTTATTAACAGTTCCTATCTGATTTGGCACATGCCTTTTAATGTCAGATGATCTGCATTCTAGCGCGCCTTTGTTTGATCCACAATTTGGAGGATATCCTGCATTCTATCCACCTTTTTGGGGGACATGAATGGAATCGTAACCTTGTGGGTTACATTCCACTGGGAGCCCCTATCTGCATATGGACAATATTTTGGGACAACATGTACCTACGTCGGGATAAGCGACTCCCTACAGGGCGTGATAGTCATCCTGGCGCTCCCCAACAGCATTTTGGCCATACTGTGCCCGTCCTAGATCTGCTGTCCGTCGACAGGACTACTTGTCCTGTCTCCCTACGTTTTGGCTGTTGGCCCTGATTGATGACGCTTTATGTTCTTGTCCTGACAGCATGTGATGTGACCTCGAAGTTTCGTCCAGCTTTCCGACCAGACTGTTCCGATGTAGCGGTGGGCAGTATGTCCAAACCCGCATGTCCATTTTGCATTCCTTCTGAACAGAAGTTCCCGAAGCAGAACAGAAGCTGACCCGTCAACGCGGCTCGTTGTTGAAAGCTTCTTACACTAACTGTGATCCTCAACACGGTCGACGCCACACTTTTCAACGCGCGACATCCCAACGTGGATCAAAGTGAGCCTTTATGTGTTTGGCATGCTGGATGGTGAACAAATTTGATGTCGGAGCCTTGTTTTCAACATTACGTGTTTCATTTTGACTTTTGAGAGCGAGTTGGTTCAACCAAGAAGCCAGGCGGAGCTCGTGGATGAGGCAATCTACTGGTTCGACGACGCTTGAAGCATTGAGGGGGAACACTGCAAAGGTGACTGTAGACTTGAAACTGTTTGTTATGTATGTACATGTTCAGTGTTTATGCGTGTATATTTAAGATACATATATGTATATTTGTGGTACCTTCCTGTGCGTGCTTGCATACATGTCCTTGCATTTGCAGATGCATGCATATGGGTATGCATGCGCGTGTCTCACGACACGGTTTGCCCGCGGCACGGAATTTGGCGTGGCATCAGTTCCCTGCCAACACGTTGGTCCAACACTCCAGACTCATCACTGCGGAATTCGCATTCGCCGAGGAAAAATCATCAAAGGAACCTCCCAGCTGGTTGGAACGTTGCCAGACAGCTTTAGCTTAGCAACCTTTCAAAGCAGAAACGACTCGGGCTTTGCAACGCTGGAACCAGCGCAGGGCACCGGCATATGCCGCTACAGGCACACCCCTGTGCTCGTGGTGACACTCTCGGGGCAAGTCCTCAATGTCGCTCCTCAATCCACTGGTGGCACAAGCTCCACAGATCATGAGCTCAAAGTTCCAGCCAAGACGTTTTGGATTGGGTATGCGTTTCGCGCATACTTAAAAGGCAACCAGCACGAGGCTTGAGAACTGGTTGGTTTTTGCAGCTTTGCATTTCATTATTATTATTATTATTTTTTCGGAGGGGGTCGCCTGCTTAATCCCTTAACTCAACATGTCTGAGGGAACCCTGGGCCTGCCTCAAACGGGGCGCAAACAGCTTCTTCACTCCGAGGAGATGAAGCGTGCCGGGATCGAGGCAGACACCTGGGCCTGGAACGGCCCCTTGGCTTCGGGCTTCGCGAGAGTCAAAATGGCCGCGTCCTTGTCTCAGGGCTTCCGTTGTTGGGGGTATGTTAAAAGGAGACCAAAGGCAAACGGGTGTTTTTAACAGGAAGCCAAAAGCAAACGACACATTTGTTGTTTTCGAGACAAACATGGCGCCTTCTCTGGGACCTCAGTGCTGCCTGGTGCCGCCTTTTGAAGTGCCACAAAACGCCCCGAGGTTTGACAACTCTCCTTGGGTTGCTTGCAGTCAAACCTTGGATTGTGGTTTGGTTTAGGAAAGCCAGAGCGTTCTTTTTCAGAGGTTTGGCTTTGAGACTCTTCATGTGGCTCCGGGCAGGCGGGCAGGGGCCTCATGTTCTCAGAAATGCCTTTCGAGCAAACCATAGGATCGACTTCACAGTTCCGTGTCGGACTTTAGTTACTTTTCGGGATGGACCATTTGAATGGTAAAAGCAACAAACAAGTGGGGTACTTGTTCTGGCCAATCTACTCGAGACGGGAGTGGCCAGGGAAAGTGGGTCTAGGTCCCCCAGTAGTGCCCTTTTACCAACTTTTTTGGGAGGGTTCCCCTACTAAAATAGACAAAAAAAAACAAAAAAAAAGTCGGGTACCAACGAATTCTAACCTCTCCACTGGAGGACCTAGGGGTGGTGAGGCCAAGGTCCCGGCGCCCCGAGGCATTATCAACGCCTGTGCCAGGCGGGGCTTCAAGCCGGCGAAACGGAGGAAATTTCTCTTTTCTCCACCGTTCAAAGGGAGGCCAAGAGGAGCAAACCCACCACTTTGGGGCGTTCCCCCCGTTTGGACACATGGCTTTTTCGGTCAACACCATTACCATTTTGGTAGGTGAATCCACCACCCATTTTAGAGCCTAATTTTAGTGGTTGGATTGGGATGTTCACTGAATCTACGATTTGGATTTCGACGCATGGCCACATGCCCGCTACATCTAAGAAACGCACCTCATCCCCCGCCAGGGCCGGACGGAGTGCTGAGGCGGAGATGTGGCTGGGCGTGGATGCTCAGGTTCAACAGCCCTAGGCAACAGACATCTAGATCCATTTGAAGTGTATTTGGCTGTGGCTCAAAAACCCGGTGCCAAAATGGAACCTTGGTAAGTGGACACATGGACCAAAACACGCGTAACCCCTCCTGTTTAATTTTGAGCCACAGCCATTTACTGTTATGTTCCATTGTTGGTTTGAAGGGAATCTATGTTTTTTTGGTTCAGGTGGCTTAAGCAAATGGAAATCTACGAGTTGTTTTACAGGTGCTCTGAAGGGGCGCGTACGCAAAGAATATGTGTCTTCATGGTGGTTGATTGTTGTACATGCTCTCGCTCATGTGTTGCGACGTTTAGTTGCGACATGCTCTCTGAACAAGCCCCATTGCTAGCCTTGGTACTATTATTAACTTGCGGTCATGTGGGTAGCAGCGACATGCTCCTGTTCTTTGTTGCGGACTGGCGACTTCCTGAAAGGATCCTTTGGTCCAAAAGCCAACACGGAAGCCAAAGGGCGGGTGCGGGGCTGGCAAAACCCAGGGGGTTCGCGGCGTTTTCTCCAACTCGTCCACTGGGTCCGGAAGTGCCAAGGCGAGATGGAAGCCTCCGGCACTGCGCCTGACGTGGTGTCCTACAACACCGTCATCAACCTTTGCGCCCACAGCGGCAGAGCACAAGATGCCCGGCCCTCAACCCGGACGCCTCGCGGATTTCGATTTGGTCATGGGAGTGCCAGGAAGTGTCACCCTTGACGGTGCAGTGCTTGGAGTTTTGGGAATCTGTTGTGCATGGTCTTGTGGAGGATGCATATGGGAACAGATGTTTGTGTCATGCACACAGCATGGCCGACGACACCAACGGCTACCAGCTAATCCGACCCAGGCCATGACCGAGTGCACGTCAGTTTGTCTTTTCAGCGCAGGGAATTGGGGAGGAAGGTTTTTCCAGCTTTCGGGGAACGGCATGGAGACGAACCAGAAGCGAATTGGTTGCCAACCCAGGCTTTAGATATTGTCCTCCTCTAACCTGTTTGTGGTGTTTAGATTAGTTTTGCAGTTTTGCTGACTTCGAATCTGGAGCCACTATGTTGCCCGGCCCTGCCCCCATATGGCATTGGACGAAGCAACTCATCATTTTTCCGCCGCCTTCTGCAGCCTTGTCCCATGTCAAACGCGGATGACAAGTGTCGACCGCCTGCTCGTGAAGGGTGGACGTTAGAACTGCCGAAGTGGTCCAAAGCCAGGAACGGGCGCAGAGTTACAGACAACACTCAAAGTGGTCATGCTTTTGCGGCCCAGCTGCCCATGCAAACGCTTCCAAAATCGCCTTGAAGGCAAAGCAACCCCCTGCTACCAGCAGACTGGATGTTTAAATTGTGCCAGGCCTCCACCCGCGTTTTTCAGCCCGGGAGCAGCCCAGATGCCCATCTCTGCCTTCTCAGCTCCGGTGGGGAGCCGAGCGGATTTTAATTTTTTTTGGCCGCGAGCGCGAGTCACCCATGCGCGAGATGACATGGACTCCAATGCGCGGTCTGGATCGGCCAGGCCTGGGATGAGAGTCAAGGAGATGTTTCAAGGAGCAGGTTTACCCCATCACACCTGGGACATCCTTTCAAGTGACCACATCCTCACGAAATGGAAGTGAGCCCTGCTTCTCGAAGGCAAAGCTGGGCAGAATCATGCGACAAATATGGCAGAATCATGCGCTGACCAGTCAAACAGTGCGCTTGGATGGCCGCTAGGACCTTTCCCACTTAGCAATTCCCTGCAACGAGGGTGTCGCATCAACGGATACAAAGCTACAAAGGCCAGCAGACCATTGTCAACTTGAGGGGTCACAGCCGAAGAGTGAAGGATTCACGGGTGTGTCTTTTTCTGTGGAACTACCTGTTGGT